TCCTCCCCCTCTCCCATGTATTCTTATGAGTCATCCCAAACCTGCTGTGGCAAAGGACAAGGTATGTAAAACTGATGTAGGTAAAGCTTAGGATAACATGCATTGATGGTAAGTCAACTTTTGTACTTTTAATTCACAAATAAATATGAAATTTTTTGAAGTTCTTGAATTGGTCTGAAGTCTTAAAATAGAATGGTTAAAGTCGCTAAATTTCACTGACCAGAGAAATCATTATTCTGTGAACCATTTTCACTCACTCACCGCCACCACATAGACTCTAACGCATTTCACCTATGGGACAGGGTGGACTTCCCCCGTGGGTTTCCAAGACCGTAATCATTATGGAAATAGCAAGCCTCGTTTTCTCCCACAGAGCAGCTGGTGGTTTTGAACTGCTGAACTTGCAGTTAGGAGCCCAACTTGTAAGCCACTATGATACCAAGGCTTCTTGAAAACATCAGGTTTTGAATGTTAAATCAAAATCTTATTGAATAGGTTTTACTAGAACTATTTTAATAGAGCAGATACACTTTACCTAAGACAAAATGAAGCTATTCAGACTTATCTGTATTAATAATTGCCAAGACAGAGCTAGAAATTTTACTGATGGTATGATAATGTTGAGCTTATTAAATTTAACTTTGTTTTTCCGATAATTTATATCTTCTTGAAAAACAGGACGCATACATAACGTAGGTATATATGCCAGCAATGAGCCAAATCTGAAACTAGTCAGAAATGAAATCTGAGAATGAATGAAAGTGCATGTCCATCAGGCACACCATTAGCTGTTGTGAGTAAAATAGCATTTGTTAACATTTCACACCTTAATAAGCAGTTTTTTAAATGCTGACCTTGAAATCTGAAAGGGGAAAGGAATCAAGTGCTAACAAAATACTAAGAAGAAACTTTATACAGAACTGATCTTTCTCAATAAACCAAGTGAACATGAATTATCCAAATTTTAGAGGTCTACATATATTTTCCTTGGCCTAAGTGTTACTAGTCCTTCAAAAGCCTTTCTAAGATGCAGCCATGATGCTGTTCTTGATGTAACTGCATCCACGAGATGTGTGTTCAACTTGGCAGGAAAGTTGGGGGAGAAAGTAAACAAACGCAGTGCTGACTCATGACCACCCTCTAGGACAGGGTAGAACTGCCCCCTCTGAGTTTCTGAGACTGTAACTCTTTATGGGTAGAAAGTCCATCCTTCTACTCACACAAAGCGGGGGGGGGGGGAATCTAAGCTCAGGATTTTGCTTTGGGGAAGTAAGGGAGGTTAATGCATCTAGCAGCAGCTCTAGAAGCTGCAAAATAAGGTCAAGTCAAAACTAGAAAGGCCTTGACAAGCTGCAATCAACAGCCATGTGCAAGTCTAGGTCATAGAAAAGTAGCAAGTGTTCAAGAAGAAATGAGGGCATAAAACCACAAGGACTGAGATATAATCCCGTAAAGATTCTAATGATTTTCTAGTTCCTTTTACCAAGTCCCATGGAGTTCTGAAGGAATCATGATTTCTGTTCTTGGATCCCTTTCACACAGTTCAATTTTCTCTCTAGAGCAGTGGCTCTCATCCTTCCTAATGCCGCGACCCTTTAATACAGTTCCTCATGTTGTGATGACCCCCCCCCAACCATAAAATTATTTTCGTTGCTACTTAATAACTGTAATTTTGCTACTGTTATGAACTGTAATGTAAATATCTGATATGCAGGATTTATTTTCATTGTTACAAATTGAACATAATTAAAGCATAGTGATTAATCACAAAACAATATGTAATTATATATTGTGAAATATTTAAGCCTTTTCCGATGGTCTTAGGCGACCCCTTTGAAAGGGTCATTCAACCCTCAAAGGGGTCGCAACCCATAGGTTGAGAATTGCTGCTCTAGAGGGTCCTATCAAGAATACCAAGACCTATGCCTATGAAGAATCAAGGACATATCTGCATTTCTTTAACCCAACAATTCTGATTCTTTATCCTAAGAGAGGTGTATGAAAGAAAAAGCATATAAACATGTTCACTTAA